GTTGTTGTCGTTGTTGGGCTGTGCCTCACGCACCGCTCTCGCCCTGTCTTACAGGGCTGGTGCGGGAGCTGCTGAGGGAAGAGGCGCAGCCCCGCATCGTGGCCCTCACGGAGGAGCTGTTCCAGGCGGCGGGGAGGATCTCTGAGGAGGACGCGAGCGCGGCTGAGCCTCAGCCGCGGCCTCCTGGCTCTCCTGAGGACCCGAGGGGTCCGTGTGCCTCAGAGCCTGCAGCAGCTTTCGGCCAGGTTGGTGCTGCAGCTCTGCAAACACCTCCTGCTCCTGCTTAGCCTTGGCTAAATGTGTGACTGCAGCGCTACTGAAACGTAAACAAAACAGTTTGGGTTTGTTTCGTTCACTGCCGTAGCGCGAATGTCCAAAATAAAGTGGAAAGTGTTATGTTTAAGTAGTCGATGCTGAATGTCGACCCTGAAGTGTGAATCACCAGCTCTACTCTTGTGAGGTCCCGCCTGGATACTGCATCCAGCTCTGGGGCCACCAATGTAAGGACACGGATCTGCTGGAATGGGCCCAGAGGAGACAAAAGTGGTCAGAGGCTGGAGCAGCTCTGCCCTGGGACAGGCTGAGAGCTGAGGGTGTCCAGCCGGGAGGAGAGAAGGCTCCAGGGAGACCTTGGAGCCCCTTCCAGTGCCTGAAGGGCTCCAAGAGAGCTGGAGAGCCTGGAGGGACAGGACAAGGGGGAATGGCTTCCCACTGCCAGAGGGCAGAGGTAGATTAAAGATTAGGAAGATAATTCTTCCCTGTGAGGGTGGTGAGACACTGGCACAGGTTGCCCAGAGAATCTGTGGTTGCTCCATCCCTGGAAATGTTCCAGGCCAGGATGGGCAGGATTTGGAGCGCCCTGGTCTAGTGGATGGGGTCCCTGCCCATGGCAGGGGGTGGAAAGAGGTGGTCCTTAAGGTCACTTCCAACCCAACCAATTCTGTGATAATAATGGGAAAAGTTATTGGTTACTGGTGATGCTAAGGTTTTTATTGTTTTAATTTTTAGTTTTATCTAATTGTAATTCGAAGTAAAAATGCAAATAGAGAGCCCTGGTGCATTCAGAGCTTGGTTCTGGGTCAGAGGAGAAGTCCTGCTCATGCTGGATGTGGATTCAGATAGTGACAGCAGATACTTGGGAAAGAAGGGGACAAGCAAGCATGTCATTTTAACTGCCTGGCGAACTTAGTACAGATTATTAGAGTGAAGTACTAATTTTCAGTCTTTCTAAAAGTGAAACAGGTGGTTATAATGTTTTTAATTTTAGTTGGTTTTTTTCCTTCTGTATGTTTCTCCTAGAGGAGTACTAACAAAGTAGTAAACATGTACTTTAAAGGTCCTTTTCCAAAAAGAAGGCTGGTGACTACTACATGAATCTGGATTAAAAACAAGACCAGCTAAGATCTTGCCCAACTTTCTTTCTCTAAACTTCTATTTTCAAGAGTGATTTAATTTGTAGTGATTATCATCTAAGGAAGACTGATTTTGTGACAGGAACAAGACAGGTTAGCAAATGTCACAGCAGAAAGTATGCTCAGTGCAGTCTGTGAAGAAATACCAGAGCATGAAACTGGTGCCCTCCAGTCCTTCCTGAATCAGTGGGGCTGAATTACTTTTGAAGAGAGGAGGAATCATTAGTTTGTAATGTGTTTTCTTCAACAGAAGAGGCTATAAACTGTCTCCTAGTTAGTCAAGAGTTTATTTGTAGGCAAGATCTACCATGGAAACTAGAATTTAAAGTGGTGGAAAGTGTAGCTCTTCAAGGTGTGTTGCTAAAGCAGCTTATTGCCTTTGTGTAGTACTGCACTGTCTTTAACAAGAGTACACAGTCAGCCTTTGTTCTTTGTTTGCTATTATCAAAACTTTCCCATTTTAGGTATTTAAAATAATTAATTTCTTAGATTTCTTTTTGGTATGCAAAAGAAGTGAAGCCTTACTATAGATACATTCTCAAACCTGGTAAGAGTCTTACAGTTCTTTTCCAATCCCTTCAGATTTTCCAACATGTTTTTAAAATGTACATAATGTATCCTGAAAGCTGCCAGTGATTCAGTTGTGGTTTGGATGTGCTGATGTGCTACTGCACAGGGTTTGGTTTCTCTCTATGGGTGTTTTTGAAAAAATTTCATCCCAGATGGATGGGGTAAGTGAGGTCACGATTTGCTAAATCTGGAAAAGGACTTGATACTCCTCACATAGGTTAGGACATTTCAGTAATATGACAGAATCATGGAAGTTGTTTATGAACATATTTGAATACTTCTGAAGTCCAGCACTTCACATACAGAATTCCCTCTTACGTATCACTTTGAATTAGAGCTGAAGGCACTGATGGATGAGGTGACATATATTTGTTGTTTGCCATATAATTAGTACTTTTTAGTTTCAGGTCTTGGATTTACACAGTAATGTTCTTTCTTACCTTGCTGCATCTTAGAAGTGCTTGGAAGATGTGAAATAGTCTTTTACAAGAGTAGATCTTGTATATTAGATCTTTTATGAGACTAGATTTAGGAAATGTGCTTGTGACAAGAGTATGTGCTTCCTTCCAGCTGTGTGTGCTTCTAGAAAAGAATGCCCTGTGTTCATTCAGCATGCCTGTTTCAGGTCACTATCCAAGATCCCTGTGGGATCATGTGACAGTTTATGGAAAACTCACACCTTTGACTCCAATGTTGAAGGGAGTTGCACAAACATGCAGGCAGGTCATTACTATGATACACATGAAAGGTGGTTCCTTTTCCAGGACAAAATTAAATCTAATGGAATTCTCCTCTTCAGGTTGAGGAGTGTGCAGTCAGCCTGTGGAACTGGACTGTGACCAAACACACAGGAGCTGTTGTCAGTGATGAGCAAAGAGCTAAACGTATGTATGTTCCACACCTTCCTAAATGTCTTCTGTGTGCTGCTGTAGTATGGGAATGAAAAACTCTGCTGACAGGCACACATGTAGTGCTGTAGATTTGTTTCGGCCTTTGCAAATAGGATGTAGAAAGAGGAATATGTACAGCTGGGCTTGTATCAGCAGTTCAGGGAGGAGCATCCTGGTGTAACAGTTATTCCTTGTGGCACAGAATCAGTGTGGGTATTCTTATCACATCCCTTTCTGTGCCAGAGCATCAGTAAAGAGATGATGTGCCCAATGGAAGCTGTAATTTGCCTTCTGATGCTGTGGTTCTAATCTAAAAATGTATGGAACTAGCATAGATGTAAATTTGAGACTGTTAGTCTCTTATCTCACAAGTGAGATGGTTTCTTTAATGTAACATCCCATCAGGGTTTGCATACAGAGAAACTAAATCCTCTTTTTGCTGACCTGCTTTGGCCAGGTACACAGCTGGTGTGTTCTCTTGGAGCCAGGAGCAGAAAGCAGGAGTGAGCTTTTGGGCTTTTCCCTCAACATGTGCTTTCTGTGGTTCCATGCCATATAGACCTGCATTTTTGTCTTGAGGGATTAATGCTTTCTGTGGTTCCATGCAATACAGACCTGCATTTTTGTCTTGAGGGATTACAGTCAAAATTGTGTATAATCTGCATCATATAAATTGTATCAGGTAAAGGGAAAAGGGTAAGTTTACACAAAATAGAGCATAATGTTCTCAGATCTTGTATCACAGCTGAAGGGCCAGGGAGAGGCAATTTGAAATTCATTAAATGGTGTCTTTTCTATTCTTGATGTATAAGAAAGGCCTGAAAATATTTTTGCTTTTTACTTTGAAAATGTAAAGATTATTAAACTTCATTTCCTTATTTTGCTCTAGGCTATTTTGAGGCTCTCAAGCCATGTTACTGTAAGCATCTGCAATGTAATTAAGTCTTTGAATACTCTCTAAATTGTTTAATAGGTATTTTAATGCATTTTTTTTTCTTACTGCCTGAAAAGCAATTTGAAGCATCTTGGCTAAAATTCAGATTGCTTTGACTCCTGAAGCTTTCCAATTTTTCTCTTTTGTAATTTAAGATGGCTTTTCAGATATGGCAGGGCCTGACTTTCTGTAAAAACAATAAAGAAAAAAGAGAAAAGGAAACTTCTGAATGCCTGTACTGTTTTCTTGCAGTGAGGTTTGTTGCTTGCAGACTGATATGCCTTTGTGAAGGCAATGATCCTTCAGAGGAAACTATTCGAAGACAGATTTTGGTAAGACTAATTGTGGGTGAGCAGTGAAGTACAGTTGATCCCCCAGGGAAGCCTTCAAATCCTGTTACAGTTGCTTTGGAAAGGGAGGGAAATATGCCTATAGTTCTAGGAGGATAGTTGGTGTTTTGGTAGGAGTCTTGCTGACTCTCTCATCTCTTAATGAAAGTTAAGGTTGTATGATCCCATTTTTTCCCTTTTAAGAAAACAAAGTACATGCTGAAGTGGGACCTGTATTTTACAGGGATACCTTGCTGACCCAGTGGAGTTACGAATGACTGGACTGTATGGTTAGCATCACATCTTTGTCATGGGGTAAAATTTGTTATGAGCAACACATTCATTTACTTTAATATCTTATTGTCTAGTAGGGCACTGTAAGTCTTTTGGTACATCTAAATGTTCAGGACTTCATTCAGAAGTGAGAGTTGCTGGTCAGGAGTTGCAGAGCTGAAATATCCTTGTCCTGTGTTAGATATGTGCATCAACCAGATGAGAGCTTTGCTTCTATTGAAGTGACTGTATTTTCACAAAAGACTTATTTTCTCCTCAGATGTCTATGAAAACTGGGAAAGGCTGGCTAAATATTGGAAAAGCTGACCTTGCTGATGGATTTCTAGAGACTGCCATGACTGTGAGTTCTTTTCCAGTGTTAGTTTCTTCCATACACACCTATTTGTCCGTTCCATGGGTGACGCCAACCCTTTGTTTTCCAGAGCATAGAGAAGCTGTATGCAAAGTTACGCAAGGGGAGTGATGGTGAAGCAGATATTCATGTGCACAGAGCTGATGTGGAGAAGAACCTTTTCAAAGTACTCTCTTATCAAGCTGAATCAGTATGTGTTCTTCCCAGTTTTCCTTCTAAGTCACTAGAAGTATGGAGGGAAACTCTGACCCAGTTGTTAGATACCTGAGTGCTTGGCACGGAAGACTTGCTGAGGGATACATTTCCTTTGCTTAGATGTAAGATAACAGATCTCATGTTTGCATTCAGTGTTGCAATCATCTAATGGTTTTTAATTTGCCTGATTTATCGCAGTCATTTTTGCTGTGGTGTTTATATCTTCTAGTTCAGATTTGTTGCTCTGTGATTTGGCTAGCATGGCTGGTTATAAAATCTGCAGCTGCCTGTGTGAATCATAAATGTGTCAGTTCCAACAGTGTCCTGTGCTTGACTGAAGAAGAGGAGCAAGGCTGGTGTAGGGCCTGTGTCCCCCAGGCTGCATTTCTGTCACATGTACACTTTTGCTGTGTAGTCACTTAAAACACTCACCATACTGTGCCTGTATTTGTAATTAGGCTGATGATATTCCAAGGTTTGTATCTAACAAGCAGATACACTTGTGCTAAGTCTTCTGTAACTTACAACTCTGCAAACTCATGAACACCATCACAGCTGTTAATGCTATGTGCTATCAGACAGAGATCATGCTGTACATGAGTACTCTCTCTTCCATAACCTCATACATGCTGCTTTCCACATGTGAAAGCTTTAAACAGTGGGAGAATCAGTATAAAATTACAAGATCTCAAAATAGAGAGTTCCAGGGCATGTGAGACTTGCTTTAAAGTCTGACCCTCTGGCATCATACAATGAGGTAGGAATCATGGTGATAATTATTAAAAGGGAAACCTGGTGTAGTATGAGAGAGGTCTGGAAAAGAGCTAAAGGTTTTCTAGGGGATAAACAAGACAAATTACAGTTATTTGCAGTATGTAATTTAGAAATTCTAAGTTCTGTGAGGCATTGTTGTGCCTGACTGTGTACTTTGTCTGAGTACTTTATCAGTGCTATAGAGTACTGCAGACATGGGAGTGTGAATACAAGAAAATGTGGTTTCCTGCATTTGTTGATCACACTGCTGACCTCAGTATCTAGAAGGGGAATGCTGTCTCCCAAAATTCTCAGGAGCTCCCCTAAACAGGCCAAAGCAGTGGCCAAAATTTTGAATTTGGTCATGGAGACAGGAGGAGAGGTGGTGTAAGATTTGCTGCACTTTTGTGCTTGTGGCATGGGACAAGATCATTATATATATAATGACATATGTATATAATATATATTGCCAGATGTCTTTATGATCTGGCAATATGTAGAGATATGCAGAATTCTTAAAGCACTGTAAGGACAGAGATCTAATCCCAAACCTCAGTTTACTGCATGTGAAAAACCCAAGACCTGTTTCAAAGAATCAATCTTCTAATGCATTTTAAAGACCAGTTGCACACCAATAGTTTCTTGGCTTTACTCTGCTGCTTCCTTAGGCAGTTGCTCAAGGGGATTTTCAAAGAGCTGTGATGCATGTGCAGCGCTGCAAAGATATGTTGGTGAACTTGCCAAAAGAAGTAAGTGAAATCATTCCTTCTTTATCATTCCAAACTTTGAAAACCTCCTTTGGACCTCCCTCTGTGTTAAAGAATGACACAAGCCATATAAAATTTTGAAGAGTACTCTGAACTGAGTATCTCTCCTGTGGTTGGTTGTCTCTGAGATCTATTGTCAAAAACCTTTGCCTGAAAACAGCTGTTTTTTTTCAAAGTTATTTTTTTTTGCTTTCTGTAGTTTATAATCTGTATTAGATTAAAAACTCGTCTTAAACAATGAGAAGATAAATCAGCAAGGCAAAAAGATTTCTAAATTGAATATGCCACTTACTCTGCTACAGAACCAGCTGCATATTACATATTGGTCTTGTATATTGCATCTTCACTTGTACCCATGTGAACTCTTGTCTGGGGAGAGGTGGGACAAGGGAAGAGATGAGTTACTAAGTTTTTGATATGCAAGTGTGTCACTACCCTCAGTACTAAGCTTCATGAGACTGTGGAGCTGTGAATGGAGGTTTTAGTTGCACTAAACTGTGTTTTTTTAGTTCTTGTGTCACAGAGAAAACAAACTCTATCCTATGCAGACTATTTCTTTGCTCACAAAGATGAAAGTCTAATACATTTGTATCAGAATAAACTTTCCCACATTTATTTTCATTTGCTTACATACTTTCCCAATATTTAGGAAACATTTTGTTCCTGTCTCTGTAGTACAGGTAATAAAATTCACAGGGGCAGATGTGAATTCTGAAAGGGGAATGTGGGAAATATTGTTGGAGTTTATTTGGGGTTTTGACCAATTAAACTCCAGCTGATTTTAAATTGGCTTTTGTGACTGAAGGCCTTGTTCAAGTGCATCTGAGTGACTAAGTCAGTTGCAGGGGTCTAGCTTTGATTTGAAGTCATAAGAGTAGAGCTTCTCACTGTGAATTGTTGAAAATGCTCATTGGGATCTTTGCATTCCTGTGCCTCATTTAATTTTAAATGAGTTTCATTCTTTCCAGTTGAACTCCTCCATTAAATAGCATTAAACCTCTCATGAGAAAAGCTCTTCACAAACCTGCAGCAGTGTTGCAGACAAGGAAAAGGTTTTTGATCTTGAGAGAGACAATTTACTTCTGTTTTGAAGAGTGGTATTTATACAAGGAAAGACCTAGTGACTGCTGAGTGACTTTGTAACTTCTGGGCTGCTGGGTCAGTCCTTAACTCTTCCAGGCTGCTTTTGCACCAGAGAGCACCTGTAGAGTATCACAAGGAGATTATTGCTTTACCGTGTGATGTATGATACCACAGATCAGCTGGTGAGGATTTGCAGCTTGTGGATCATTGGTAGTCTGTGAACTATTCACTGGGAACTCTTGCCTCGCAGGGTGAAATTCCAGAATTGTTCCAAACACTTGTTGCTCATAGAGGTACCAGGATCATGGATCAGTTTAGTGTTAGGCTTGATGCTAGGAAGTGATCCTCAAGGGGTTGGGGGTGATGGTTGATGAAAAGCTCACCATGAGCTGCAATGTGCACTAACAGCCCAGAAATCAACCATGTCCTAGGCTGCATCCAAAGGAGTGTGGGCAGCAGGTGAGGGAGGTGTTTCTCTCCCTCTCTCTGCTCCTGTGAGACCCACCTGGAGTACTGCACACAGTTCTGGTGTCCCCAAGATAAGAAGGACATGGAACTCTTAGAGCAAGTCCAGAGGATGCCACGAAGCTGATAAGAGGACTGGAGCATCTTCCCTATGAAGACAGGATAAGAAAGTTAGGACAGTTCAGCCTGGAGAAGAGAAGGTTAAGTGGGGATCTCAGAGCAACCTGCCAGGATCTGAAGGGGCTATAGGGAAGCTGGAGAGGGACTCTTTTAGGAACTGCTGTGACAGGACAAGGGGCAATGGGTATAAATTGAAAGAGGGGAAATTTAGTTTAGATATAAAGAAGGTTTTTCCTGTGAGGGTGGTGAGACACTGGCACAGGTTGCCCAGGGAGGCTGTGGCTGCCCCAGTCCTGGCAGGGTTCAGAGCCAGGTTGGATAAAGCCTTGAGCAACCTGTTCTGGTGGGAGGTGTCCCTGCCCAGGGCAGGGGGTTGGGACTAGATGATCTCTAAGGTCCATTCCAACCCCTTAACATACTATGGTACTATGCCTGTAACACAGTCATTCACTGAAGTACAGCATTCTAATTATCCTTTGAAATGCTGCTTTTCCAAGCATGCCAGTGAATGACTAGTGTGTGCCACTGTGTTATGCTAAACACTTTGCATAAACCTTCTCATTCTCAGTACAGTAAACATTCCGAGAGAAAACATTCACAAATGAACTTATGAAAAATAAGGGGGTCACATCTGAGAGTGATCTCTTTTGTGTTTGTGCATACTGAGTCTGTGCTTTTACCTCTGGATTGCGTTGAAATAAGCAATCAATTTGTAGCAAGATTTGTGCCACCTTTCTCATTCTTGGCTGAGGGTTTGAAATCTGTGGTCCCTTGCAAGATACATCATTTATACTTGGAAAAATAAGTTACTGCAGAGGCAAAATGGATGTAAATATTGGCAGCCTGTTAGCATATAAATGACTTCTGTGTCTCTTCTTTGGATGACATATGACAGCTGCAAATCATTTCAAAGGAAAGACGAGTTGTTATGAGCAGATGTTGTCAGGGCTGACTGATAAAGCAGAAAGCAGCAGTGCTTTGAATTACCAAGCATTCAAAACCAGTTTTATCCTAAAACATATAATGCAGATGATAATTTTTTTAACCCCAAAGGGACCTACTGGGAAGCAGCCTACCATGGGAGAGGCAGAGTCCTCCTCACTTAATAATGTCAAGCATTTTTATAATTTTAAAAAAATAGGGTATAATACTCCAATTTAATTCTAATTAGATAATTCTAAAAAAATAGGGTATAATACTCCAATTTTTCCTCTCAGGTTTTAATGTTTATTGTTTACTTCACATAGTTGTAGTGCTTTCAGTGTGATTTATCGAGGAACTGTGTGTTCCTTTTGTGTTTCAAGAATGCTGCTAATTTGTGTGTCCTGGACTGGTTAATGGTGCTTCACTTTCCCACACAATTATGGTTCCATTTTAGTCATGTTCAATATTCCCTTGTAAAAGGCCAGAGGTGATAATAGTGGATGTGTCTTTAAAGTAAAATGCATTTTAAAGAACCTGAGACTGAAACGGCAGAGATCTAATGGTGTTTTACAAGAACATTATAGAAGCAGAAGTTTTTTATTGCAGACCTGTTACCTCTCAATCCTCTGTTACAATTTTGGAGTGGAAACCTATGAAGGGAAGAAGTATGAACAGAGCTCCTTCTGGCTCAGGTACTGTACAAACAAAATAAACTGTTTTTGAGATGTTAAAATATGTGTGAAGATGAGGGGGGAGCAAGGGAAAGTAGGAACCTAATTAAAATCGTGAGAATACAAGATTTTAGCTGGACCAAATTAGCTGAGCAGATACAAATTCAAAGTAGTTATGGTCAAATATGTTATCAAAGGCGTTTTGTAGAAATTATTAGAATCAATTATAGCTGATGCTTTGGAGGTTATTTTATATTTTGTTGTGGAAAATTAAATCTTGAGTCCTGGTGACAAAATTCGAGGAGGAAATAAAGCTTTGCAGAGTGCAGGTAGTTATCTGGAGAAAGAGATGTGGCTCCATCTAGTGGGTTAGGATTTCTCTGGTCTGAGAAGAGATTAGGAAACAAATGCCCAGTTAAGTGTTGTTCTTTCTAACTGTTCTTCATTCACAGCATTTGCAGTCGAATTTTGTGGAATTACCACCGTGTTTTCTCCTGGGTGGTCCTTTGGGCTGCCATTTAACTTTCAGAATGGGGAATTAATACTCCCAGGTTCTGCCTCTGCTGTTGATTTGCTGTGATCTTCAGACCAATCTTGTATAGATTTTTTGTGTGAGTATATTATATGTTTGGTGAGAATGAGAATATTTGACTCCTTCCAAATCTGTGGTTAAAACTGATAAAGCCTACTAGTATGTTTGGATAGAAGATTTTACAGCAGGTTGAAGAAAGTGACTGAGTACAATTTTTAATGTAAGGGTAGAAAGAAACCAAAATTTTCTGTTCTTGAGTCCAAGTGAGTACTTGAGATCAATTTGTGTGATTTATATGATTTCTAACTGGTTAAGAAGTGGGGAAGGACAGGAAGGTTGCACATATCCGAAGACTGAGTTTGTCTCTGGCACCTCATTTAATTCTGTCTTTCTCTGATCATTGATAGCCAGAGTTATGACATAGGAAAGATGGACATGAAATACTCTGTTGGCAAAGAAATGCAGGTAAGAAGTAGAGAAATTGCTTTTTGCAAGTAGGAGGATTTTGTTAACCTGACTCCCACTGTGTAATCTGCCTCTCCTGTGCCAACCCTGACCAGTGATTTCTTGGCCTCCTTTTTAGAAGTCTGCTATGAAGTTTGGCAGTTGCTATGAGTGTCAGTCCAAGAGTTCAGTCACTGATGTGTGCCCTTAAATCACATCTGAATCTACTATTTCACAAAATCAGATCATAGCTGAGTTAGGCCCTGAAAGACATTCCCTTCCCTTCCCCATCTCTTTCAAGACATCATGAGTTACAGCTGTGTCATTTCTGATAGATGTGTGTCTGTCTCATTAATTCTTTTACTCCCCACGGTGGATATGGAGATTTTAATCTCTTCCTCTTCATATAAATAATTTATACATTTGAAGGCCATTATCATGTGTCTTGGGTTTCTGTTTTTTTCACTCAGTGAACTGTGTACCTCCTGTTCTTTCAATTTCTTCTCTCATTCTGCCTTTTCCAGACCTCTGACTTTTCTTGTTACCCTCTGTTCTCCTCTGAACTCTGGTTGATTCATGTCCTGTATGAGCTGCAGTGCTTTAACACTGGATGTATTTCAGAACTGAGCAATCCCTTTGTATGTCTGACATTGGCAGACATTCTTTAGATTCAGAGAGCTTTTATTTTCCGTGACCTTAGAATTTAAGCCTTTCCTGTTCATATATTTGTCCATATGTGGTTATTTTTGCCTTTCCAGGCTAAAGTGCTGCGTCTGTTAGCGACAACCTATATGGCCTGGGATTGTAGTCTGTACTTTGACAAGGCATTGAAAGCTGTAAACTTGGCAAATCAGGTACTAATGTCTTCCTCTGTTTATGGTTTGCGACAGACAAAACTCAAGCCTTTACTGACATCATAATATGTTAATCACTGGTGTGTTATCCTTGACAACAGATGGAGGTGTGTTTTCTTCCCTTTGCTTCTCATACTCCTAATCATGTTTTAATGTTCCCAGATTTTTTTTTGGTAGAGAAATACTTCTTTGCATGTAGATGTAGAGCTGTATTACTGCCTCCTGTCTCTTAAGAGTGAGGTCCCTTGATAACTATGTGACTGACGTGTCTCTGACATGCTGGGTGAGCTGACACAGGCATGTGGCTAGGACAGCCACAAACCCACAGCTAAACACAGAGAGTAGGTTTATTTCTGTTACCTCATTAGCCAGGAGATCCGTGAAGGAATACCCAAGCAGAAGTACATGAAGGCACCTTTAAACTGGGCCCATGCCAGAGGATCACCTGCTGCTCTTCACACAGGCTTATCAGGGGTTAGCCCCAGCTGTAAGGTCATGTTGTCACCCATGATTCTCCTCCCAACAGAGGTATTCATGAAAACTGGACAAACAGAGTAACTGCAGTGTGGACCACAGGAGGTTTTCTATGCACCAGACCTTGTTTTGCTTTGGATGATAGTGGATATGTCCATACTACATTTTGAGTCCTCATCTGTTCAGATATTTGAGTGAGCACCAAACAGAGCTCTGTTCTGAAAGCTGTGCAGCTGTGCTACATCAGCCTTACTTCACAGTTCATTTAGCTATTGCACTTTGCTAACATGATTGCTAAATAACTGTATCTCTTCTGGAACCTGAAAAAGGAAGAAAATATTCCATAAGTTTCCTACCTACTGCTTCAGCCATTAAAATGGAACTGAAGATTACAGGGGAGTGTATGTGATTTCTCAGCATTTGTCTGTGTTGGACTCTAACAGGGTCTGTGTTCTACATGCAGGTGTCCAAGTAATGTATTCTTTTCCATTGTGCAGGAGAATTTGCATCCAGCAGGGCTTTTTTTGAAAGTTAAAATCCTTCTCACAAGTGGAGCATCAGATGAAGATATCAACTCAGGTATCACAGCTCTGCCTAGGTTTCACAGTAAGGTCATGCTGCTCCATATCCAAGAAGATTGCCTGTTGTACAGAGAAAACCAATCTTTTCTCATGTGTTTTGGTGGAATCTCCTGAATGTCATTCTGGTTTTGGATTGTAAGCATAGTAGTGTTCACAGATGAGTTGTACAGATCCTAATTTAAATAGACTTGCTACAAATAGTGAAATAGGAAGACTCTGAAGTCTGTTAGATTGAAGACAGTGTAAATGCAGCCATGTAAAACTATGTTTCTTTTAGACCTATGCCTAAGGTTACTCAGACAGGGTAAGGTGCATTGACTCTTGCACAATCAGCATGGAAGAAAGGCTTGTGAAACTGCTCTCCTCTCTGGGGGGTTTTGCAGATTTTGGCCAAGAGACATCAGTGTGTTGTTATAAATCCATATTACAAGAGTTTATTTAGTTTATTTAGAGCAGATAAACTCTTTCTCATTCTTGTCTTTTGAAGATACTTGTCATTTGGAGAGAACTGATTTTAGAAGAAAGATTTTTTGGGGACTTCAATATAGAAAGGCTAATGTATCAGAGAAATTTGTTTTCATAACTCATGAAATCTTAAGGAAGAGAGGCTTTGTAGTCACCATGGTTGGAAAGCATCTGGTGCACAATGAATGATCTGAGAAATGTAGGATGAGATGAGGAATTTCTTGCAGAAAGGTATTTTATTCTTCCTTTTGCTTTAGATCTATTATATTGTTTCTGTCTTTCAAAGAAACTGTAAGAGGTAAATGGTAAATCGAGCAGTTAAGTGCCTAAGGTGATTAAATAATCTCAACTGCTTTGTGTTCTGCAGCTCTTGCAGAATTCCTGCACCTTGAGATGTCTTTAGACTTATGTTTGAATACTGCCAAACTGCTGCTGGAGCATGGAAGGTATGAAAGCATCACTAAGTGGGGTCAACACAATGGTTGGAGTTTATCAGCAAAGAACATGTGTTATACAACGATGCTTAATTTTAAGCAAAACTCACAGAGTTAGCTAAACAGTTTGGAGAGGGAACCTGTCTGTTTTGATCACAAGGTGATACTGATTATGGCAGCAACAGAACAGGGTGTGACATAAGGTTCATGGCAATTTGCAATGCTGTAGCTTTACTTTAGAATGATTAAGATTCCACATATAGTTTTAATATATATATGGAATAAAATATATATATGAGCCTGGACTGAAAACTTTCTTCTAACCAACTCTCAGAATGAAAGAGTTTGGCATCCTAGAATCATTCTTGTGAAAAGCAGTTCAAGGATGAACAAGTTACTGCGAAATAAATTGAGGCAGGAAATTTCACCCTGTTGAATGCTCCATCATGATTACCTATGCATATGCTTCTGTCTTGAAGGAAATGTGAGGAGTAAACTCCTTTGTGAAAACAGTGGAACAAACATGTGCTAGGAAGTTGCCATTGAATAGATGAACTGTAGTAAATTCCTACCTTGATTCATTCTGTCAGTGTGATTGAATGAGAAACATGCTGTATGGACTGAATATGTTAATCTCTAGAATGGAAAATTAACAGCTTTTCTGGCACAGCCTCTTAAAAATGCATCTGTGTGAATAGGGAATCAGTTGGGCTTGGTTTTCTGAAATCTGTTCCTGAACGATTTGAGTCTTCACCTGACCTTGGAAAAATTACCCTTCTCCACATCGAGTTCCTGTTGCAGAACAAGAGGGAGCTGCTTGCTAAGCAAAAGATTGAAGAAATTATTATAGGTCTGTATCCATCTTTTGTTGCTGTTTACTGAAAGCTGCATGTAGTTGGCTAAGGTCTTGAATTCTAATATTCACTTTTTTTGCTTATTCTTTCTTTCTCTTTGTGTCTGTTTTCCCTCGTGTTTCTTTTACATGGCAACTCTCATTAAATTTGCTGGAGCAATTCCTCCTTCTTAACTTCTCTAGTGAATGACAGTCATGATAAAGCTCATTAATTTGCTGGAGCAATTCCTCCTTCTTAGTGTAGCCTGTGTGTGACTGCTACATGTGGGATTAGAAGTTCTGTGTAATGTTAATGCTTTGTCCATTTGTTGGGATTTAAACAATTTGCATATCCTTGTTTGAGCAGCTGAATAACAGTTTATTTTTTTCAGGTCTGTCGCACCTGTGGCATTTTTAAACTGTCAGATCTGCTGTAAAACAGGTCCTATTTCACACAGCATCTAGCTAGGAGCAAGAGTCACATTTACATTGTTCAAGCATGAATATATTTTTCTCTTACCCACTGTTTTTTTGCGGTTTTGGTTTTGCTTGTTTGTTTGTTTTTCAGAAACACGATGTGAAGCACTGGGTCCCAGCTGAAACTAGTGCTGTGTCAGTGTTTCTTGTTGCAGGCTATGGGACAGTCTTTCTCAGACAGCTCTTAGATGCTTCTCAGTGTGCTTTGTAAAGTTCTTGTAAAGTGATGATTTGCAGTATCTTTTCAGGTCATTATACTGGGAAACAGCTGCTGCCTGAAGCCTTGAATCGGCTGCACATCATCTTGTGGGACAGAGCTGCCAAACATTTTGAGGTTTGGGACCAAACAGTAGTGTTCTTTTTTCTATCAGTGAAAATTAAGATCTTTTTCTGACCTCTTTGATATGTCTATTTTTGGTTAGAATGCAAGCTGTTACTAAGATCCCTGTTCCAGCTGGCAGTAGTTTTTCGTCCAGCTGAGTGCTATTTTCCATTGCAAACTCAAATTTCAGGTAGCATCATCTCAAGGTTTGTGCATGGGAACAGTTATGGCCAGAACTGCAGCTCCAGCTGGATCCCTCTGTGTCTGTGGGGCCTGATGGGATTCATCCAAGAGTACTCAAAGAGCTCTGGCTGGTGTCTTATTGATTTTTGAATGGTCTTGGGAATCTGGAGAGCTCCCAGTTGCCTGCAAGCTGGCAAATGTTGTCCCAGTTTTCAAGAAGGACAAGAAGGATGACCCTGGAAAGTACAGTCCTGTCAGTGTCACTTCAGTGCCTGGTAAAATTACGGAGGTTATTCTGGGAGTTATTGAAAAACACCTGAAGGACAACACAGTTGTCGGTTGCAGGTTCATGAGGAGGAAGTCCTGCTTGTCAAACAATTTCCTTTTATGACAAGGGCACCCACCTAGTTGATCAGGGGAAGCCAACTGATGGAATCTTTTTGGATTTCAGTGAGGCTTTAACACAGTTGTGCAGGTTCATGAGGAGGAAGTCCTGCTTGTCAAACAATTTCCTTTTATGACAAGGGCACCCACCTAGTTGATCAGGGGAAGCCAACTGATGGAATCTTTTTGGATTTCAGTGAGGCTTTGGGTTCTGTCTCTCACAGTATCTAGACAAATTAGAGGAGTGAGCACTCACCAGCTGTATTAAATCTAACAGAGAGGCAAGTGCTGGATTCTGTAGTTAGAACACCTGGATGGGGACAATTTCCTTTTATGACAAGGGCACCCACCTAGTTGATCAGGGGAAGCCAACTGATGGAATCTTTTTGGATTTCAGTGAGGCTTTGGGTTCTGTCTCTCACAGTATCTAGACAAATTAGAGGAGTGAGCACTCACCAGCTGTATTAAATCTAACAGAGAGGCAAGTGCTGGATTCTGTAGTTAGAACACCTGGATGGGGACAGGCTGGGGAATGAGAAGCTGGAGAGCAGCACTGTGGAAAGGGACCTGGGGGTCCTGGTTGATGACAAGTTGAATATGAGCCCACAGTGTGCCCTGGCAGCCAAAAATGCCAAGTGTTTCCTGGGGTGCATCAGGCACAGCATCACCAGGTGGGTGAGGGAGGGGACTGTCCCTCTCTGCTCTGCACTGGTGCAGCCTCACCCTTGGTGCTGGGGGCAATTTTGGGTGCCACAATAAAAGAAGGATATAAAGCTATTAGAGTGTGTCCAAAGGGGGGCAGTGAAGGGCCTAGAGGAAAGGGTGAGGTCACTTGGCTTGTTCAGCCTGGAGAGGAGAAGACTGAGGGGAGACCTCATCACTCTATACAACTTCCTCATGAGGTGAAGTGGAGGGGCAGCACTGATCTCCTCTCTGGTAACCAGTGACGGGACCCAAGGGAATGGCTGGAGCTGTGTCAGGGGAGGTTTAGGTTGGCTATTAGGGAAAGGTTCTTCCCCCAGAGGGTGTCTGGGCACTGGAACAGCTGGGATTGTTGGGGTGTCCTGAGCAGGGCCAGGAGTTGGAGTCTGATGATCCTTATGGGTCCTTTCCAACTCAGGATGTTCTGTGATTCTCTGAGATATGATCACCCAAGTGACCTGTGCAGTCCATCATTCTGGTTCTGTCCTGGACAAGCTACAAGAACCTGAATATATTCTTTACTGTTTATTTTACCGTTCCTAGTGTGTCAAGGTCAGTTGTTCCTTTAAGGAGCACAAAGTGTTATTTATATATAGATTTGGGGTTTAGCCTATATAAAGTAGTTTTGGATGCTTACATTGCATCCCAGCTCATATACATATGTACTGTTAGTATCTATAAGTTCTGTTATTCAAAACCAAATTCTTTATTCTTTCAGTATTGTGAGGAGACAAATTCATGTTCTACTGTTGTTTTTCTGTCACACACTTATTTCTTGAACATATAAAGAAAAACATATGTGCCATTTTAGTACCTATCATCTGTATAGTTAAGAAGGAATTTTGCTTGTGACAGAGCTTCCTTCCTCCTCATTCTAAAATAAATTCTCTGCCCAAACTGAACTATAGTTGGGAGTACCATCTTCAGTGTAGTGTAGTCTAAATTGGATACATATTTTAGTCTTTTTCTCTTAATTTCAGTTGTTCTGGATCATAAAGAGCGACTGTTTTTGAGATGATCTTTCTGTTTTGTATTTAGTCATAAGAATGCCCTTCTGGGTCAGATGAATGACCCACCTAGTGCAATGTGCTGTCTTTGATAATGGCTGTAAGAATAAGGGAAGAGTAGGAATAGGGACAATATCAATTTCCTAGTGAATATTACTTGCATTGTGGGACCAGTGATTACTCTTCTGGGAGAAAGGCTGCACTAGATATGCTAATCTATCTATAGCTTTTGTTTCCCATCACCTTTTAAAAAAATTGGGAAAACATAAGCTGTGTAATCCCCCCAAACAAGGGTGTGTTTGTGTGGGATTTGTTTTGGTTTGATATTTTCTAGGAGAAAAGCTATTCTGAAGCCCTTCAATGGTACAATTACTCTGTGAGCTTCTACACACCTGGACAGATAGATCAGAACTTGGCTAAGCTACAGAGGAACATGGCTTCTTGTTATCTTCATCTGAAACAAGTTGATAAGGTATATAGAATACATATATATACACACATTTATGTGTTTATTTGCATTGTTTTCATTTTTATGGCTATGTCATTGGGACTAAATTTAAACCTTTGTTACTGTACCTCTTCTGCTGTGAGAGAGGGAACTGCCTCTGCCTGTCTCACATCATCCAGCCACAGAACTGCTGTTCATCATTGTAGCTGCTATGGACCCGCTTGTGTCACCTGTGTTTCTAAGGAGGGAAACAGTGCACAAGCTGTGTGACTGTGCCTCAGTATTTCAGGGTTCTTCTCAGGTGGGAGGTTCTCCTCTCTTCAAGACAGATGAGGCCTGGCAGGAAGAATGTTTGATATTTCTCACTAGAACTTTGCCCAGCAGTTTGTTAGCTTTACCTCTGCAGAGAAGTGCACCTGCTTTACCTGTCTAAGCCTTCTGGTTTGAGGGTGTTATACCTCACAGTTCAAAGTGACAGGAGGGAGTTTAATATCTCAGCATTCTCAGGGCTTCTCTTGCTTTCCGAATGTGTAGCTCTAATTTTGAGGAATTGGCTTTTGCCTTTCTAATAATTTGTCAACCTTCAGTGGCATCTTCTGGTCTTATCACTTTTCTTTCAAGGGAAGATGTTGTCAAACTAACTATCTTGAATAATTATATAAATATCAACAATGTAACCATTACCATTTTGTGTATCTTTTTAGCTCTTTTTTACTGCAAATTATATGCTATTAATTTCAAGATACTGTTGTACTGATTGCCTTTAATCTCTTCTGTGAATAGGCTAAAGAGGCAGTTAAAGAAGCAGAGAGGTGTGATCCAAACAGCATCTTTACTAAATTCAGTGTCTATAAGATTGCAGTGATGGAGAACAATACTGATAAAGGTAGAACTTGAAAGTTAAAGTGTCCACTACAAGGAGCAGAAGTGCCCAGTAGATTAGAAAACACTAACCAGATTTGCACTGTTCATCTTGAGAAAGACACAGTAGAGGGTATCTAGGAGAAGGGTCTCTGAAGCCATTTGAACTGTCAGGCTGTAGATTTAAATTGTCCGAGTAGCATGTTTTTTGCACACAAGATGTAAGATGTAGAATCCATTGCTGTATCTGATATTGTCTGGATGGAGCCTCTGGCTGGGAAGTCTCTAATCTTCTCATGGGCAGAGGCTATAGTAGCATCCCAGGGTGAGAATCATTGTATGCTTACTGATTCTCATATTTTTTTGTATGCATATACAATATAAAAAAGGGGAAGCTGAGCTCAATGAACCTGAAAGGAACCATTATTGCTGCTCTTAATACCTCTGGGCAAGTAGAGCCTGAAGTTACCACAAATACACGAATTACTGAGATGACTTACAGAATGACTTATCGGTAGCCACTTTCTTCTTTGTAATGAGTTCTGCCATTTCATATTTTAATGAGACTCTTAGCTCAAGTAATGAAAACTGAGAAATACAGTCTGTACTTACTTAGAATACAGAGCAACATGCACAGCTTATTTTTCCAGTGAGTTCTCTGCCAATTAATTGTTCTCTATACATCTTTAAATGACAGCATAATTTGTTCACATAATATAGAGTGGGAACCACAGCACAGTGTGAACATAAAAGCAGTGGCACCTTTGGCATAAGCCAAGATGTGGGAGCTTGGAACAATGCCCAGACAATGTATTAGAGAAAGTCTTCTGTCTTTGGTGACAAACAGTTACTTAGCAGAACAAAATTAAGGATGAGAGGTAGAGTATCATTTGTATGGCATCCTTGTTTCCTTAGATCAGTAGCTTGGAAAGCCTTTTGGCACCTCTTTAGGAAGAAATGCTTTTTAGTGGAGAGGTGCTGGTATGGTCAGGTTTTCTTGTCTTGTCTTTTCATATAAAAAAAAATTATAGCCTTTCATGAGTCATTAAAACAGGAGAACTTTCCACCTTCCAATTGCTTCTATAAAAAATGTTATTTTTTCCCTGTGTGTGTTTCAGCTGTGGAAGCAGTTATTGAAATGGGGAAGCTAACAGAGAAGCCACCACAACATGAAGACAACCCAAGAGTGGATGAAAGTACAGGCACTAACCTTTTGAGTTTAGCTGCCCAAATTGCTTTAGAGGTAGAGCAGATATGTTGTCTTTGCTTTATTGATCTAAGTAGGAGAGCTGTAACCTCTTCAACCTGCCCTGCTTTTCATATTTCTAGGTATTTTGTGGATTTTGAAGTATTTTACTCTTCCATGACAAAGGTCTCACTCAAATGTGTTGTGTACTGCAAAGTGATTAATTTCACATAGAAAGAAATTGCATCTTTTAAAATTTCTGCAGGAAAAGGAAGGATTCTGAGTTACAAATGTTGGTGTCTGAAAATGACCTGGTATATTTCTGTAAAATTCCCCTTAGAAAAATTGTATGTCTTCTTCTGCCTCTGGGATCTGCTCTTTGATATGAGAGGAGGAACCTGTGTACAAAATACACATAAGTCAACAATGAAAGACTGAGCAGTCCTTTGTCCCTCGTGTTTGCCTCTTGGTTGGTGACTTGAGTGATGTCTGAACTGGCTGATTGCATTTGAGGCTATTAGGCCTTTGTTCACAGCCCTGTAAGGCACGAAAGCCTCACCAACCTGTACCAGTCCTGTTCTTGCCTTAGGCTCTTTGTGCATGGACTCGTATGATCTCTCCTTATAGTTTTCTCTGCATGCTGAGGCAATTCTGTGCAGAGCCCTTTGTTCTTTCTCCTGCTGCACAGACTTCTGGAATATGCTGTTGCTTTGGGGTTGGTTTGTTTTGTTGTTTTGGTTTGGGTCTTTTTGTGGTCACTGAGGTAGTTCAGTATATACAAAACACATTTTAATTTCTTTTCAGAATGACCAGCAAATTGTGGCTATCAAAGCTTTGGAGTATTTGTCTGAACATTTACAAGACTATCGACAATTGTTCGCAGCCTTAAAGTGAGAATTCAACATATTTACGAGGAGAAAGTTTTGTTTTCTTTTAAAAAAATATTGTAAGGTGGAAAACTGAGAAGATGACAGATTAGTTATCAGCCTTTTTGGTGCTGCAGATGTGCCTCAAGCCTCAGCTCCTATTATCTGCAGATGTTGTGAGTCTCTCCCAGGCAAACAGTATTAGTCGCACTGAATTTTCTGATTACACTCTGGTGTGAACAGATGACCAGCAGTGACTCTAGTGGGATTGCATCAACATTTTTGGTGAAAATACCAGTTAGATTGTGCCCTCTGATTGTGTCTTCTTGAAGTATTCTATGTTGTTTATGAAAACAAATATTGTGAGACAGATGTATTTATTTCCATATTTGCTTCAAGCTTTTTTAAAAGTATATTTATTTAATTACTACTACATGTTTTCACAAAGGGATATACAAAACAAGGCAATTTTATGTATATAAAAAGATATATAATATATAGTTGTATAACGTCTATATTATACTGTACAAATAGTATAATCTTATTCTCAGTTTGACACTTTTAATTCTTCTGTGAGTTCCACAGGCTGATAGCATAGGAAAAGAAGTGGGATCTCTTCTGGAAAATTAGGGGGCTGATAGCATAGGAAGGGAAGTGGGATCTCTTCTGGAAAATTAGGACAAAGTACATTGTCTTTGTAAAAAAGAATCTTGTTTCTTCATTGCTTGTTTTTCTCATGTTTAGATGCCTGATTCGTCTGATGTTGTCAAAAGTCAGGGCAGAAGATGAAGAGAAGAGGTGAGTCCATTTGCAAGCCCATTTTCTGGTGGTGGATACTGTACAAATGGTGGAATGTTTTCTTGCTGGGCATATTGCAGAGTAATCCAGAGATTAGTTGTTATGCTGGTAAAAAGTCCACCCAGGTGACTTCCCAGCCTGATCTAGTGACATCACATAGGAACATGTTTTCTGCTTGTGTAACCTTTCCTTCAAATATTTGCTCCTTGCCTTCCCCTTTGATGAATGCACAAGGCTGTCAGGTATTTTTAGTGGAGGATGTGAGCTGAGCAATCTCTGTGACTTTGACACTAGTGAGGTGTATTTCCTGAGTTCTGAGTGAGAAGAATGAATATATCCATAACTGGGGAGATGTGTTCCAACATTAATAATGTGTTCTGTTGGAAGAAAGTTAATCAATTTTCTAAACCTCAATTTTCTCTCCATTCTAGAGATGAAGATATCAACTCCATACTGACTTACTTGAACTTGGGTATGCTTTTGTTTTATTTACATTCTCTGGAGTTCCTCCATTTGTGGAAGAAGATTTTATGATGCGAATAGATCCATACCAACCAAATGTTTAGGCTCTTTGTTTCACTTTGGGTTCCCAAGTTCCCACTGAAATAAATGAAAACTAAAATTGGAGATTCAACAGTGTTGTGAAGTTGGTGCTCAGTGCCACAGGTGTTTGCTGTTGAAAACTATTCCTGCAAGTAGAAGAGGATGAAGAGTAGAATTAAATGAGTTAAAGGTTCCTAGCAGAAGGGCCTCAAACCTGTTATTAAATTTAAAACCCCTCAACTTCTTGTGAAATTAATAAAACTCCTCTGCATTAGACTTGTGTGTCAGCAAACTTTGAAGAGGCAATACTTGGCTTCTTCTCTAAAATGCTGTTTGAGGCACCTTTTGATGTTTTTTTGTAAGTGATTCTGGTGAGAATGTTAGATTTAAGTTGTGAGAATAAGTCTCCATCAGGAATTGCATGGGAGTTTTGGAACCCTTTGGTTTGTAGTGCAGTGGTTAGACTTGGAAGTGGTTTTATTCTGCTCAGAAAGTGTTGCTTACATATTGAACACTACATTTTTTGCAGCTCACAAGACACTTGCTGAGTCTTTCACAGAAGAGACATTCACAGGGGACATGAGGATCCTTGAAGCTCACTGGTTTAGAAAAGTTGGTAGGTAGCACTCTCAAAATCTAAACGGAATCTCCTCTACCTCCACTTAGCTAGAAATTAAGGAAGAAAGAAGTGTTTAGAGATGTAGCACATTTATAAAACTCGTCACCTTTGCCAGTCACTGCCTTAACTAGTCTGAAAGTTCCCCTGCTGCATTTTCTGTTGTCTGAAACTGTGATGTGATTCATGTTTTAAGTGAGTTAAGATAAATACTCTCACAAGGTCCATTTGACTGATACATTATTCCCTTCACCACAGGAATTGTTGTCCATGGTACAGCTCTTCAGAGTTCACCATTTAGTTCACCTCTTGATTACACCTTCACTGCCAAGACTCTGTTACAGGAGTAAAATTTAAAATCAGGAAAATAGAAAGAATAATGTTTTTCTTACATGTCTGAAAAGAAATGCTGCTAAGAGCAATACAAAACCCCCTTACTGCTGATCTATTTTGTATAGGCAAAATAAGAATAATTTCTCTTGGGAATATTGTTGAACACTTTCATTCAGATACTAACTTTAGTAATGTAAAGAAATGCTCCTGCCAGTCCCTGCTCACGTGAGTAGGGTGTGTGGTAGAGTGGGTACTTGGTTAGGATGAAATTACCAGGACAAAATCTGAAAGCTGTTTTAACAAATCACTAACAACAGTATTTCTTGCTGCTGTTAAATGAGCTGTTGATGACATTTTGATGAAGAAGTAGAAGTGTAGAATGTGAACTGCCTATTGCTAGAGATCAGATGGGCACACACATAACTGAAGATTTTTATTCTAATCTCTGTTTTTTCTGTCTTTGTTAGCTTGGAACTTAGCTGTGGAGTTCAAGGATAGCCCTGAAAAGATGAGGGATTTTTTTCTATTGTCTTTCAAGGTACTTACTCTTCCTAGTAGTGTCTCTGAGGAATATTTTCATCTGTCTAGTTCTTCTTAAGGTTCTTTTAGGCTCTGGTCCTAATCTCCACATAGGACTTGTACCAACACTGTCAGTTTTGTGTGTGTTTGTACAGACTGGACTCCAACTCTGCTTTACACTTTATATTTAAATAACTACATAATTTACAAGCAGAACTGCGATATGAATATATACTACTCATGACAGTATGTAATTTACAAGCAGAACTGCAATATGAATATATACTACTCATGACAGTACTGGAAGTGTCACAGAGGAGACTCAGCAATAACCTGTTCACAAGCAAATTGCTTTAAATGGGTAAAATTCTCATTACCTTTATTTTTGGTGTCAGTTGTCCCAGTTTTGTCCTTCTGACAAGGCTGTTCTCCTTGCTCAGAAGACATGCCTGTTAATGGCAGCTGCAGTGGATCTGGAGCTGGGGAGAAAACAAGTAACACCTTCAGAACAGGTAGGGGAAATCCTCTTCACTGGTTCTGTATGTACCAGTGTAGTACTTATTTCTTTGGATTTTGACATCTTAAGTTTTTTCACTCAGAACAGGATATTGAGAATGTAAACAAGGGAATATTTCATAGTTGATTAGAATCAATGCAGCTTTCCAGACAGTTGTAAATGGTGGATTTCTGTACATTAGTTCTGTTGGCTTAAGTGGATTTGAATAGATTTCTAGCAGTAAAGGGTCGTGGCAGTGTCTCTTACAGGAATTTCAATCTACTGCACGTGATAGGTAAGGAGTCTGCTGCTAAACATGGGTTGATCAGACAATTATGCTGTTGCTGAAGGTAGTTAGCACTATGGTTGTGATAAAGCTCACAGTATTTTGAGGTTTTATGCATACATCTTGGGGGGAGCATTGTGCTTACTGTGGTAAGAAAATGTCCAGTGGTTATGAAGGAAGTCTGGAACTCTGTGGGAGAGGGATTGTAGGAACTTACTTCAGTGGACAGTGCACAGCACAGCAATTTGTGTTGTGGGATTTAATGGTTTGTAAGTCTCAATTGCTCTATTTTGTGCTTGGGAGCTAAAAAAAAATGCCCCATAGGAACACACGTGGTTCTTTTTGGACCAAGGGAACATTCAATGTGAAGAGGCTTTGTCTGAGATGTGGAAGTCTTTGAAAAAGAGAAAAAACCCCACCCCAAATCCAGTAACTGGTGTAGGTGATTTGCTAACTAGGCTGATTCTGAATTTATTTTATAGTTAGATAGAAAGATGTTGTTAGTTAGTTTTCGTCATAAAACTATATGACAAAAATAACTCCTGAAATTTTGTAAAACAGACAGAGCTTTTCAGCCAGGCCCTTCAGCATCTTCAGACATGCAGGGAGATATGGAAGGTTCTGAAACTAACAGGTAGGCTGCAAACTGTGTTTGTTCAGCACGTGTAACTCTTACACTTAGTCACTGTATCCATGGAAAGTACAGGGCAGATGGAATTACTGTCTCAGCTGGAGGCTGTTGAAGCAGATAGATGACAGTACGATAAAGGAGTGGGCAAAGCCAAGTACTGTTTTTTGTGTGTCCTTAGTATTTAACTCCAGTCAAGAAATTTACTTGCTGGTTTTTTTTTTTTCCCATTAACATCTCAGAATGAAAGGTGCATTGTATGGTTTGGATTTGGGAGTCTCTTTGGCCTTTTGCACTGAAGGGAAGATAACTCAGGAAGACTTTTTCCCTTTTGATTTGCCATCCTTGAAATCTCTGAGGGGTTGATTGTCTCAGGACAGGAGTTTCTCCTGGAGATATTTGTGGAGTGGCAGCCTGGTGCTTCCTTCCCTTCCTCCACAGTCCTTGGTGTTTGTGTCAGGGATTCTGCTGTTCTCCCACCCTTCTTCCATGTTTAAGGATTCCCTGAGGGATTTTCTACCACAAAGGGGACAGGTCCTGTAGAAGAATTTGAAGTAGATGCTAACTTCTTTCATACGCTGACCTGAGCTGGTGGCCTGCCATTATCTCTTTCACCTGACTATGAAAATGGCTTCCCTCGTACCCATTAATAGTACTTTAATAGTTTTCCTGCCCGTTGGAAGCAAAATTTATACCTTATAGTACACTATGTGGCTTTGAGAAAGTTCATCATTGCATACAGACAATTCTGTCTCATTTGTAGGAGACTTTGGCAAAGACCCAACAGACACATTGTTGCTGCTTTATGAATTTGAAGCAAGATCCAAACTGAATGATCCAACACTTCACAACCTGATGGAGTCAGTTTGGGAGCAACCACAAATAGAGATCAAGACACTAGAAATCATTGCATGTGAGGACTGTGTTTGTGCTTTCATCATTCTTCAAGTCAGGAAAAAAAGCTTTTGTTTCTCTTTCCTGTTCATTTGAGGTGACCAGGATTATCATGTGTTGTGCAGCATGGGTCTAACCCATATACATTTATCTCTAATCCAGAAAATGAGTCTAACCACATACATTTTGTCCTGAAGCAAAGATGCTTAGAATCTCAGCACCATTAGGAAATCCACATTACACAGAGGAGGGACCAGAAAGCTGTAACATCCTTCCATTTCTAGTCCCTGAGGTGTTCATACTGGCTGAGAGTCTGGAAGATTATTCAGATAAACTGTTACAAGTTCTAAACTGGCAATAGCCAGAGAATTGCCTTAGCTGATTCATGCCCCAGTACAGAAGTTCTAGGACTTGGATAGATATTTGAAGTATATTTAAGCTATTAAGGTAACTTTAAGTTCAGACTTAAAGTTTGTGTAGTCAATCTATAAATATCACTTCTCTGTACTGTGCCACTGTTTCCTCACAAGTTCTAGTTATGCTTCCTTGTGAATCTAGAGTAGGATCCAAGAAAAATGAGTAACGTTTAGAACTTCCATGGCAAATCTTTGGAGGGTGTTCTGTAGGATTGTGTAAATTCCTTCTGGTCTCCCTTGTCCTGAGGGAGTGCACTCCTGGGCTTGGAGACACCATACTGAGATCCTGCTTCTGCCTAACTTTTCAATCTGGGTTTTCATGTTCAAGGAGGCAAACAAAACTCTTTACTTAGGACAGTCCCCCCCCCCAGTATTTTTGGATGGTAAACAGCAGTGAGAGTACTTGTAAATTATGAAACCTGATGTGCTTGTGCCTTCTTGCCTTCATTGATGATGTGCACAGTAAGAAAGAAGTACAGAAGCACTCGTTTGTGTCCAGCCCAGGTGTTAAGCAAATCTCTTTTCAGTTGTTTATCACAAGGATCTGACAACATGCTGCAGTTTATTTTAGTGACCATTGAGATTAAAGTTTGACTTCAGTAATTTCTTTTTTATTCTTCTCTATTTTCTTTTACTTTAAGCATTGGCAATGGAATCTCCAGCTCGGTACCCTGTGCTGTGTAAGAAAGCTCTCAAGAGTGCACTAAACCTTCACAGAAAGCAGCCTGTCATTGATGCTGTGAAATTTAGGTTAGTGTTATCACATAGCTTTGCCTTTGCTCTGACTGGAAATGCTGACAGGGAATAAAACTGTAATTTGGAACAAGTGGATTTTAGTTTATGTGCAAGGTTCTACTTCTTGCTAGCCAACCAACCAGTGGAGCTCTGAGGGATGATCACTGTCTGAGAGATGTGTTAACTGCAGTTTGCTTACTTGGCACGTTTTCTGGCCCAGTCTTATTTCCAATAAACTTATCTATTGAGAAAGGAAATGAAAATTGGATTCAGAAGAAGCCTCTGGCTGTTTCTGGTGAGGAAGGGCTTTATGTCAAATGCTACTCTGCAGTAGTGAACTAGGTATTTCAAAGACAATATAGGGAAGAGAAATTCAGGGCTGAGAAGAAAGACATGAGTTGTCAGTTAGTGATATGATGCCATAGTCCATACACAATTTATTCTGCTGGATAACAGCGCTGACAGCTGCACCTTATGGATTCTGTAAAGCAACCTGGTGTGTGGCCTCTCTCGTTGTGCCCCATGAAGATTTTTTTCCTCCTTTCAAGTTCTTTGCAGTAAGCACTGAGCAAAGGCAGCTGTTAGCATTGCCTTTCTCCCGTCACACTGAGAAAGACAGACCTGTTTTCAGATTGTATTTGTTCCTGATTTTCTGAGGGTGCTGACTACTTAGTTCTTGGTGGTGAAGTTAGAAAAGGTACTTTCTCCTTGCTGTTCTCCCTAGAAAATACTGTCTTTCCTTCTTTGTTACTTTGGAGACCAGCAATGAAAATAATGAAGTTCTGTTTGCTTTTCTTGGCTCTGGTTTTGCACAGTTTGTATGAACGAGATCTGATACCAGGAAAATGTGTGTTTCTGCTGTACAAATGTCGTAAGCCCCAAGGTAGACATGTCTGACATCACAGAGACATAAGTCAGTGTGCTACTGATGCTGAAGAGGAGCTGTTTGTGCATGTGGTGTTTAATGTTTCCTCTTCTGCTCTCTTTCACTTCTCAGCAAATGCTTACATAGTTTGATTAATGTTTCTTTGCCGACTGGATTAACAGACTTGGACACCTGTGTGCTGCAGGAGGTGTGGGACTACTTTGAAGATGCTCTGAGTGTAGTCAGCAGCACAGTAAGTTGAACAGGAAAACCAGAGATTGGGAGATAATACTGAAGAAAATTCTCATCAGACTGATACTAACGAGTAGAATGAACATGACATGTTATATGTGGAGCTGATAAGACTTTTTCAGTGAAAGATAGACTGAAATTACCTCAAAATAAATGTCTCTTGGATATATATGACTGCATTACAAATTTCACTGCATTCTGTAAGGCTTTTTTAGCGGCATCTAAGGACAAACTTTCAGTTCCTATTTTAGAAGCATCTCAAGCTAGAACATTTATCTTTATTCCTTGTGTTTTCCACACTCTTACGCTGAATACATTTTTAAATGCAGATAACTTTTCCACATCAGTTTAAAGCTGTCTAAAATTTGGATACTAGTCCTACTTTTTTCTCACCCCTGTCTTGTTAAATGTTTTTGGGAACTTCACTACTATTTCTTCCAACTGACCTAGAACTACATTCCTGTGCTGTCAGTACTTGTGGTACCACTTGCCTGGTTTCTGTGAGGACAGACATATGGAGAGTAAATTCCTCCTTTCAGTAAGCATTTCTTACTCAAGGAATTGCTCTTTGCTTAGGGTGAAAACCCCAACTGTTTTCCCACTCTAAACTCTAATGCACTCCTGACATGTCAGTTTTAAAGTGAAGACTCTGTTTTCTGATGAGCTGCTGCTTCTTGGTTGCTACCCCAGGATGCTTACCCAGAGATGGAGATCCTTTGGTTGATGACAAGAGCCTGGAACACAGGAATATTTCAGTATACTGTTGGAAAATACAAAGAAGCTGAGCAGTGGTGTGAATTGGGGATGCGTTTCCTCAATCGCTTGGGATCTCTGAAGAAGAGCTATGAAAGCCATGTAAGTGTGCACAGAGGGATTTGAGGGTATGGGATTGGATGTCTGGCCTGAATTTGAGATGTGGGTCTGGGTGAAGCCTTGGTAACTAAATATTTTGGAGGAGCTTGATGCTAACAGAGTGTTTCAAAGTGAGACCCGAAAAGTTTTGATAGACAACAGAAAGAGTAATGTAGTGTCCTTTTACTGGAAGGATGATGTAAATGGCTGACTGGAAATAAACCTCTGACTATTTATGGCCGTGGGGGAGCCCTTGTACCCTGCCTGCTGTAACTGAAGTCAAGGTGCTGTACTGGTTTACTTCAATCAGCTGTTGTGTGAATACTTTCAAGGTGGTTTCTAGTGTGATCTTACATCTCATAAATAGGGTTTCAGCTGATGTGAATAAAATCTTTAAAGCTTACTTTTTCCATGTAGCTTAGCCACTTCCTATGAGGGAGAAATTTCAGGGCTTGGACCTTTGTAGCAAGCAGTGACACTTCTTAATCTGTCACAATTAAGCTTCTCTCTACAGTTTTTGGCTGGTGTTCCTGTGTAGATTGCAGCATAGTGCAGCCTGGGAGGTGTCTGCGGTCACCACGCATTCTCTCATGCACAAGATGGGCACTTGAGGGCTGCCTGTAACTCTTATGCAATTTTAAATGTATCAGTTGAGACAGTAGGAGTTGAGATCACTCCCTTCCAACCTCAACATCAACTCCCAACTCCTGTGATTCAGTGAACGGGTATATTCACTCACATGAGACTCAGATGTAAACTAGGCTTTATGGCAGTGGAAATCAAACCACCTTGCACTGATTTAACTCTCTTTTCTAAACCATTGTATTTAAATCTGTGCCAAAATCTTTATATCCGTCTGAAATTTTAGGCTTAGAAACTTGTGGTAGGCTCCCGCTATTCCCTTGTTTCTGTTCCCTGTCATTCCATTGTATCTAAGGGAGTGATACAGCTTTATCCATCTTTGTTGACAGCTGTGGTGTTTATGTTCTGCAGATGATTGGTCTTTATAGTGAGGTTCTGGACAAACTGGACAGAGCGAAAGGATTTATTCCAAATGAAGAATAAAACCAGCCACAACTGCAAAAAAAAAAAAGAAGGACACAGTCTCTCTTCGAAAGGTTCTGCTCAATGAAAGAGGCTGTTAGCTCTGTGAAGGCATGGGAGCAGTGGAAAAGAAAGCAGGATCTCCTTGTTGGCAGATAAGTTATGTGTATTTTAGGAAGTGTTTATTCAATAAACGTAATTGTTTTCCTCTAGGGAATAATTTTCATTCTCTGGAGCTGTTTAACAGTTAGAAATGAATATTTAACTTTTTCATGAGATGCATCTGCTGTTGTGTAACAGGTTGGTTTGAATATCTGATTTTAGTGGTAACTGGCAACAAGAACAATAAAAGTATTCTGAAAATATTCCATCTCTTCTGGATGTCATAGCTGCCTTGCTGCATAAATATTTATGAGATTGTTTAGTTTCCAGGCCATTTCAGTATGGACAAGAATTCAGAGCTCTTTGCTGGTTTCACAGTCAGTCAGAATAGAAAAGAGCAGTAGTACTGAGCTCCCAAAACAGCTCAAGCTCACACTGGCACTGCTGTGAGGGCTGCACTGCTCCTGTCTGAGCTCACTGAGCTCTGGGCTGGATGGGTGCTCAGCAGGTTGGGCTGACCAGGTGTCTGGGGCTCTGCTAGGTAAATCTGGGATTAAGCCAGACAGGGAAGCCTGTCAGTGTGTATGTGTGAGGTGTGCAGGGAGCCAGCAGGGAGGGACCCATTGGGTCCCTGGAGCTGCTGCTGTGAAGGGGCTTTGGTCCCAGTAGTGACAGTCTGGGGTGATGTGAGGGTGACCCGAGGAGTGACATCTGAATGCTCAGACAGGAAAGTTTCCTTAACAGGAGGATGGATCTGATTAAATTCTCCACTTAAGGTACTTGTTTGGGTCTCTGTGAGACATTGCTGGCAGATCTCTAATGCACAATGGGCTGTCCAGGTCTCAAATGCCACCAAAAATTCTTCTGCCACATCACATCAATGGGGGACTCTAAAAGATGCCAAAGACTCAAGGGATCCATCCTGCCTGCAGTATCTCCTCAGTGCCTGCCAGGCCAGCTTTTAATTATTGCTCTCAGTTCTGACTTGCACACACACACAAACAGGTAAAGGTTTCATAGTATGTTAAAGGGTTGGAATGGACCTTAAGAGATCATCTAGTCCCAACCCCCTGCCCTGGGCAGGGACACCTCCCACCAGAACAGGTTGCTCAAGGCTCTGTCCAGCCTGGATTTGAACACTGCCAGGGCTGGGGCAGCCACAGCCTCCCTGGGCAACCTGTGCCTGTGTCTCACCACCCTCACAGGAAAAAACTTATTCCTTATATCTAAACTAAATTTCCCCTCTTTCAATTTATCCCCATTACTCCTTGTACTCCAGTTCCTTTCCTAACAACCCTCTCCAGCTTCCCTGTATCCCCTTCAGATCCTGGAAGGTTGCTTTGAAAGGTGTCACAGTGTACCAAATGGGAAAGGTCATGTTTGCCCAGTAAGTGTAAGCAGGTAATTGCACACAGCCAGAGAAGGCAGCAAGCATTACATCTGGTTTTGCCTACAGCCAGAATTGTTTGAATTTTTTCCTTGGAGGTACTCAGTTTGATTTCTTTTATGCTGCAGACTCCGCTAAGGAGCTCAGATCAGATCGAAAGGTGTCACAGTGTACCAAATGGGAAAGGTCATGTTTGCCCAGTAAGTGTAAGCAGGTAATTGCACACAGCCAGAGAAGGCAGCAAGCATTACATCTGGTTTTGCCTACAGCCAGAATTGTTTGAATTTTTTCCTTGGAGGTACTCAGTTTGATTTCTTTTATGCTGCAGACTCCGCTAAGGAGCTCAGATCAGATCAGTTAAACTCTGCTGATAGTACTCACCTCTTCTCTGCATATTTTTACATAGTACATTTTATTCCAGGCTTAGTATTTACCACAGGGTTTAAGTAGGGCAAGAATTCCTCTCCTAGTTGAATCAGACTGTAATTAGCTGGATTTCCAGTGGCTGCTCCCAACAGGTAGTTTGTGTGTTTGCTGGTGTAGGTGCAGGCTGGGCCAGGTGATTTTCCTAGGCTAAATGTTGCTTTATAGTTCAGTAGCACATCCAGGGTGACTGCAGGTTATAAATCTTTTAAGGCCAGCAACAGCTGACCTGGAAGGAAGAAACAGTGCTGCTCGTTCCTCCCCCAGTTTTGTCTTTTCATTGATCCCTGTTTTGTTTCAGCTCTGAGAGCCTGGGTGCTCATCCTTGGCTGTGCACAGATAGCTTCGGAGGGTGACATTGCACCAGTAGTTTCCCATTTACACAGCACTGTGGAAGCTGCAGGGTTGGACACTGGTTCTGGAACTGCAGAATCCTCCCAGCTTCTGAGGGCACAAATGGATCCTCGGGGACAGCAGGTCACAAATTTCCCCCCTTTCCCCAGCCTGTATTTTATGCCCTGTATTGTTTTCCTAACCTGGTAATTTATTAACTTTTTGGGGAGGAGCAACAGTGCAGAGGCAAATGGGAATTACAATGTGATTTGGAGAATGGGTGCAGGGAGAGGGCATTTCTACAACTGAGCATCTGGGAATGTGGCTGCAGAGAAACTGCCCTAGGGTAAAAAAATCCTTGCTGAGAAGATTCTGGGAATGGGCCAGGGAAAAGAAGATACCACCACAGCTGCTGGGCCCTGGAGCCCCTTCTAGCACCTCTCACCCAGAGGCAACTGCAGCAGGAGCACTGTCTCCAGCAGCTTTCCATTGGGGCTGCACCTCGGGCTGTCTCTCACCACACTCTGTGAGAAGAGCTTTGCTGTTTCGGTCAAGCATTCTGGAGAGGCAGGAAAGAAGAGCCTGGCCACTAGCACTTAGAATTGAAGTGGTCACAGTAATCAGAAATCAAGGTAATTGGCAGAAGCTCATTAGAGGATTGAACAGAAGCTTTAGTCAGGTAGTGCATTGGAATGGAGAAAACACCACATTCACCCCTTGTCGAGACAAGTGTGGCCCCAACAAGGTATTGCAAGTGCTGCAAGTGCCTCCTGTGTGCTTGTACCATTAAGAGATGCTGCACTGACTGCCCCAAAGTAAAGGTTTTCCTTAGTGTTTAAAAAAACTAAACAACATGACCCTCATTTTGGAGACAAGGGATATAAATAAACACAAAGGACAAAGGGTACCTAAGGATTCTTCAAGGGAAGAGACACCTTTGACATGATGATAACTTTACAGCAGATGCTTCAGTGCCACGAATCCTGCTGTGACACCTTGTGGGAAGCAGAGAACAACAGTCCTTGAAGGCTGTGCTGCCAAGCATCATTAGCAAGAAAAGGCATATGTAAGAGCTATTCAGGTTCCTCCATCACAGGCATCAATGGGGAGAAAAATTTTGATAAAATTGTAATTAAATCTGTTTAAAACTCTTCCTCACTTCCTGTGCTCCTCTGCTTAACCAATACCAAGACAGTTAATTATCCAGAGCTGCAGCCAGAAGCACAGACATGTTTCTCTATAGCACAAGCAGCTTACAGTCTAATTTTCTAGAAGTGTCTTAGGGCAGATTAGTTTTATGCCTGTTGCAGGCAGCTGTAGCAGGACATCTTGGGAGAGAAAAGAACCAACCCCCTACATTTTGCAACACAGGAGCACTAACAGAGTGATGTTCTGCTGTTGTTTGGTCCAGGACTTTGCTCTAAGGTCCTGGTAGGCAGAGCAGTTTGTCCTTGACCAGAAAAATAGGTTGTTAAAGAGCATTAACAGAGCAAGTTCTTCCTTCATGCCACCCTCATTCTCTTAGCATGCTGGTTACTCTCCCAGTGAGTGCCTCACAGGAGTGAGAGGGTTTATTTGAGAACATACCCCCCTGTTCCTCTCCCCACTTAATGTTTCACTGTCACAGCAGATTGGGCTAACACATCACCTCGGGACACATCATGGCTTGCCTAGGGCGGAGTCTGCAGCTCCACATGCTGCAGCTCTTGCCTAGGGAGGAGTCTGCAGCTCCACATGCTGCAGCTCAGAGTTACTGGAACCGAGTGCAGCCCGGACAGAGCAGCCACCGTGGCAGGCAGGAACACACAATGTTTCTGTGGTGCTTCATCTCTCCAAACCACTCATTATGCCAGCAAAGAGTTTGCCTTTTGAGAGGTAATGCTATCTTCAGATCTGCTTAGCAACTGGTTAATCTGTCAGTGTTTTATGGACAACCACCACCACCAGACTGATGATCTGGTCAGTTAAAAGGAGTTTTTAAACAGTGTTGAATTTGTCCAATGAGTTTTGTGACCTGTCTGCAGACTGTGTGCCCATGCTCAGTCAGTACAACATCCCTGTTGCCTTGAAAGCTCAATTTGGTTCTCCTGTGCAGCTTGAAAGGAAAAAAGAAATTTAATATTTAGAACCCCAAACCCTCTCACCTTTCTCGGTGAGCTTTTCTCAGCTACATGATAAAGCAGATTTGGACAGGAATGCACAGTGATGCCACATTCACCACATTTGAACACTCATCTTCTGTGCTTGCAGGTACTAAAAACGATACTTGTTGTCTTTACGACTTCTTTCTTCTCTCTGATATCTAAACATGTTAAACTGTAAAAAGAAGCTCTGTATTGGCTATGTATTTACTTTGCTGTTCAATACAGGAACAATTATGTAGCAGCACATAAACCCTTATTATTTGTAAAGCAACAGCCCCACAATTCAAGCCATGACCCAAAATACATTCGTGGTGTTGTCATCGGGTCAGACTCAACCTGTGTTACAACAACCCAACCAAAAGAGCTTTTCAGTGGCCTGGTTACAGCTCTAAATAAAGCCACTTCCTTTCTTTATTTTCTCTTTTTTCTTTTTTTTTTCCATTAGGCAAGTTCTCAGTGAGCACCTTTTATGCAAAAAAACTCCAACAAAAACCTCAACAATTATTCTTCTTTAAACCGCTGCCAACACTTCAGTTTGCCACAGAGGGACCATATCACTAAGACCAGCACCAAAGAAACCAGATCTGACACACAATGAAGGACTCTACAAGAAGGTCTCAAAGACAGAGTTC